GGTAGACGGTTGATGATGAAAGGGAAGAGAATGATGTGGTGGCACCTGTAATATACGAGGACGAGGATGAAAGTGATGAAGAGGGAGTTGATGAAGAAGATTCTATGGAGGTCGAAAGTGTCGAAGATGGTGAAGAAGGGACTCGTGTGTACAGCGATATTAGTGATGATGAGGAAAATGGTGAGATTAGCGAATGAATGAGGTTCGGTTTTTGATACTCAATTGTGGCAATTTATTTACACACGCCAGTTTTCTCCGTTGATTTTGTTTCTTTCTTCCAAAGAAATGAACATGGGTGTGTACTGAGTTTAAATGAAAGCACATCAAATCATTTTAAGAGATTAATATGAGTACTGCAATGCAAAATGCATTTTCCTATTTGTTTGTTTACAACATACAGAAAGAGATTTTTGAACCCTTGAACTCTAAGAACTAACTAGCAATTGATACATAATTCGATTTTTGTACATCTTTTTTTTTTATTATTATTATTGAAGATAAATTATACTTTTTATTTTTGTCATGGAGCTACAATGAAGATGGTTGTGATTGGTGTTGTAATCGAACCGAATGAGCCAAGCTTGGATATTTTGAGCTCGTGTTTGTTTACATTAGAATATTGTTGTGTTTGTTCGTTTATTTGTCGAGCAAAAAATCGTGTTCGAGTTCGTTCGTTTAATTGTTAGCCAAAGTTCGAGTTTGTTCGTGTTTGAATAATTTAGGACACAAACGTTAAATAAAATTATAATAAATCAATGTTTGCAGTCATTATTAAACGTTTACGAATGAGCTCGTGTTAGTTCGCTTATTAAACAAGCTTAATTTTTTATTCGAACTCAACTTGATTAACAAACTTGAATGAGTTTTGTTCATGAACGTGCGCTTTATTAACAACAATAGTGATGTAGAACGTGAATAAAACGGGATGTACGAGATACTTTCTCGTGAAGAACTCTCAATATCAGATAAAACTTAAATTCATTCACCGTCGGCTATAATAAAGAGAGGAATAATGTATAGTCTTAAACCTCTAAAATTCCTAACTTGCTAAACAAGATAACTTTCAATAATAATTATATTCCTAATTCTAAATAACATAAATAAGGAAATAGAATAATAATAACAAGAAAACAATAATATAATTAATTAAGTATCCTAAATGATCAAATTAACGGCTTTCGTCGAAAGTCGACCGTATTTGTCCAGAAAAGTCATCACATAGTCTGAATTAATTTGTTCATGAATTAACGTTCGCTTTGTTAATAGCCATAGTCACGATGTTTGCCGTTCATCACCAAAACATAAAGTGACAAAAAATATATTTTTGATGACTGAATTTTTCGTTACCTTTTATCAAAATTATTGTGGTACTAAAGTGTTATTTGAAGTAAATGATGGGAATATATATCTAATTTGTAATGTACTTTTATATACATGAAGTGGTACCACTGATTTGTTGAACTTATGGGAACATAAAATTGCCCCCACATAGGGTGCTTACTTTACTTGGACAAGTATATATGTACCCCATTTTATGTTCTAATAACTTTGAACATGAATGTGTCAAACTTTGAACATTGATCTAACTAATATTGGCAAAGGAATTAAATTCTTTTACAGTCAAAAGGACTATGTATCTTAAGAAACTAAAGAAGAAAAAGTTCAGCTAATTTTCTTTCTTAAATATTTTCCTGACAAACATTAAATTTGCCATGATCACTTTCGAAATGGTCTACAAGGTTACTTAACGCATAAGCCTTTCATTCAACATAATAAAGTCAACACCAAAAGAGAGGACCTCCAAGAAGATAGTAAATATATATTGTAATTTACGNTTCATAGAGGAAAATGCAATTTTGATCCAAGTTAACTAACTTTTGGGGTTTCATTTTCGGACAGTACCTTTTCATTTTATGTTAATTTCATCCAATAACATTTGGGGGATTGAAATGGGTACAACAAATTTCAGCCAATATTCTAACTTTAAAGGTGTTTTCAGTTGTGTTTTACTCTTGTTTGACGGTTAATTTCTAAATAATCATTTGTCCGAAATTAATTTATTGTGACAATTTAACAAAAGTTATTTAATTAGTCAATAATGTATAACATTGAAAACCCAAAAGTATAGTGAACAAAACTTAAAAAACAATAAAAGTCGTTTATTTTAAAACGTATATATATTTTCAATTCTAGCTAGTTGTGTACAATGAGCAAATTTTACATATCTCAGTCAAGAAACAATGCTACATGCACATAATATTTTGTAGACAATTCATGTGTAAATAAAACATTACCAACAAGAGATTTCTTAGTGGCTCAATATAGGAGCCTATGAAGACCAATTTTTATGTCCAAAAATTAACAAGAATTTACATGAAGACAATGCAAGATCAAATTAATTAAATTAAACGTGAATATACAGGAAGCAATCACTTGTATTTCTATATATATGTGTACCTGATGGTTTGTAAATAAATGATTGTGCAATCAATGTATCATTTATTTGTATTTTAACATATAGTGTCAACTGTTAACATTTTTTTGCCAATAGGGGATCTATATATAATCATCAAAATGAAGTTCAAATACAAGATCAACAACCTACTAAAAGAAAACTGAGAGATGCTACACAAAGCACCTAGAACCTCAACAACTCCGAACTAGAAAGAAAGCTGTTAATAAACCTTCTGCGAGCACTCCGCATTATTTAAACCCATCACGAACGGGAGAGCTATAATGCATTTCATATACTGTTCACAAACCTTTTTTGGTCTGAGAGCACTCCGCATTACTGAAACCCATCACGAGCGGTAATGCATTCCATATACTGTTTCATGATGAACAGGTAATATTTACCTTTGTTATTTCAATTTTATATAATTTAGAAAATTATTTTAATTAATATTTATAAATTTGTATCGTACGGTGCTTTCATTAAATGCATAATACCTTATCCGAATATGAGAGCAACAAACTTTATATAAACTGAGAGCAGTCTAATTTTTGTAAAATATGTAAACATTAAACGTGTTTTTATATATAAAATTGTATATACTTTTAAACATGTTAGTTGGGCAAATTTTAAGGATATCTATATGTGTGTATGCTAACTTTAAGTATATATATTTTTCTTATAAAATAGTCTAGACAAAATTGAGGTAATTTTATATTTTTCAATAATAATATAAAATATTTTAATACTTTCACATAAGTTATATAATAGTCTACGTATTCTTAATGTCTTTTGGTTGTAAAATTGTTAACACATATACTATTAGATACTTTTAAACATATTTAGATAATTTTTTTACTCATTCTTTAATATCTATGTGCATAAAAAGAGAATAAGATTTATAAAAGATTTTCCGACAATATACTAAATGTTAGATAAAAAATCTCATTTTATTTGTTATATAATATTTCGAGTTGCATTAATTTTGATTTGTATGTGTAAAATTGATAAATTAAGCGTATGAAAAGGAGCGTACGAATTACTGTAAGGATTTAAAAAATAAAAAATAAATTTAATTTTTGAATATTTTCTACTAACTTCTAAACGAATTTATGTCATAATTCGTCATAATTTTCCCACATCATGTTAATATTTATTTTATATATACTAGGTAAAAGGTAAATCATTATCTCAATATGTATTCTATATATTTCAAGTAAATCTTCTCATCTATCTCAACGGTCCGCAGGTAGTATTTCATATTTTTCTATTCATAATCAAATATATCAAATCTTCACAAATTTTACTTCACAAAGAAAGTGTTCAATAATTTATATTTTTTTTTCCTTCTTTGCAATCCATTTACATATATATATAAATTATATTATTTTTAATATTTCACACGTTAAACATTTCAGGAAAATATACCATCCCGTGCATCGCACGGGCTACGCGCTAGTAATATAGTATCTGTGACTATCTTTATGCTTAGACTATTTTTAGTGTTAATAAAACACTAATTAGTGTTTTATTATGAAAGGAGATAGTGGATTATTGATGCTAAAATAAATCTGGACTAGATGAACTTATTGCTAGATGAAAATTGAAACATCGCCTTAAGATTTGATTTGGTCAAAATTTTAAGAAATACTCTAAATTAGCCATGCAAATAAAAATAATATTACTAATTTTGCTTTCTGTCTTAATAATCCATATGATCAATGGCCATGCAAAAAATAAATAAAATTATTAAGCAAAAGTTAAAGAATAATATAAATGACATTTCCATAATCCCATCTAACCACTGGTTCATCAAGGCCATACAGAACGAAGGTAAAATTAGAAATAAAATAAAAATACAACTCTCAACACAAAGAGGATCGATAACAATTAACCAATATTATTGTTACATATATTTCATTCCCAATGATTACAGCTCTGCCCTTCACATCACGTACAGAAGAATGAAAAATCACACATTCAATAAAAAATTATCACAAGAGATATATGCTATTAAGGCAAAAATATCAAGAAAACAAGAGATATATGCTATTAAGGCAAAAATATCAAGAAAANGGACGTTACATAGTGCACATATTACATACACTTGACCAAGTCAAATTAACTTTGTTAACTATAAAAATCAAAAAGGAGAAACCTTGGACTTGCTCTTATGATCCTTGGCAGCATCAGACACAGATTTTGTAGCTTTACCCAAACCCTCGGCTATTTTCTTGCCGATTTTAGTCGAAACTTTTTCTCTTTCTTTCGGAAAAACACTTCCTTTTTTTCCATAGCTGCTACTCGATCCACCATTGTTCGAGTTCATTTTCTCTTTCTTTTCTTTTTCGCTCTATAATTCGACTCTTTAATTTTTTACTCGACTTCTTAATTCTTCTGCTATTGAGTATTGATGGTTTTTGAGATGGTGTAATGAAATGTGCTACTAATGGTATACTATTTATAGAGAGCCTGATTTACTATTTTACTTTTTTTTTTCTCTTTCTTTTCCCCCTTATTTACGTTGTAATTTTGGTTCTAATACCGTGTTTTTTTCATGGAAATTTTAATTAGCTAAGACCCACATTGCCTAAAAATTTTATTAATTTCAATATTTTCCGAAAGTCTACAACAAAAGGCGTGTGTGTGTATGTGTTTAGCGAGTTTGTGTGTGTTTGTGAGTTTCTATATGTGTATGTGAGTGTGAATGGAAAAGTAAATTAAATAAATAGGCAAATTTATGTTATAATTTGGTGAGGCCATGCAGAATCTCTATAAGGAATTTAATTTCTGAAGTAGATCCATGATTGTGACATTATTTAAAGATTTGGTCACGATCGAGTAAAAATGCAACATTTGGCGTGTGGGTCTAATGTGTGGTACGGTTTACGTGTTTATTTTCATTGTAGCCACTCATTTGAAGACCGTCTTGAAGTTTGTGATTTTTACTTGGTCCTAAATTTTATGTATTTTTTATGTGTCATGTAATGTGATGTATGCGAAGTTTATTTTAACGTAGTTGATATTCAAGTCTTTACATTGGACAAACCTTCTAAACTCCAAGTAAAATATACTAATTATAGTTGTATGTTTTAAAAATATACCGGTGAGCTCCATTAATATTGAGTCAACTGTTAGTTTCATAACAAAAATAAACTGTTATAATATTATACTACATACTGACTTAGAGTTTATAGGGATTAGGGCTATGTTTAGTTCAATGGTTGAAAATTATTGAACGGAGATAAAATGGTAAATTTTATTTGATTATTAAATAAATGGAATAAAATAATATAAGATGCATCATAGCTATGCCCTTTAATGATATAAAAAACAAATAAATGAAATGATATAAATAGAAAGGGTAAGATATATACGTTTTATAATTTTAGAACTCGGCATGGATAAAGTTCAAACTACATGGATTATCGTGAACCACCAAAATATGACATGTACGATTACGCAGACCTAAAATGAAGAAACACCCAAAATCAACGCATGAACTTAAGAAATTGTACGTTTATGTGTAGCTAGGAATCAATATTATATAATATGAGTGAAAAATATATTGTTGAGTAATATTACGATGCAAATGAGTTAACTAGAATCGATTGATAAATCTTGTGTAGCACAATCAATTAAAGTTAATGAAAAGTTGTATGCGAAAAAAAAAAAGGTTAATGAAAAGTTATCATGTCTAGTGTAGCAAAAGTGTGTCATATATATATTTAATCAAAAATATTATATATACATATCTTAATTCAACATACAAACAACTATACTAATTTATCTAATCATTTTTAAATGTACATATATGGTAATATTGCGTGCCAATTGCATTCGAAGGGTCCACATGATAACAATTGATTTGGCTTTCTCTCGACTTATACATTCCCTTGATTTATACGTATGATGTGGATATGTACCCTTTTTATGCTCTAACAAGTCATATAATATACAAGTCTGTAAAAATTGAGCATTATCTTTCTATAAATCTGAATGTCAATACGTTATAAATTATGGATTCCGCACATTAGGCCTATCTATATATATATATATATATATATATATATATATATATATATATATATATATATATATATATATATATATATATATATATATATATATATATATATATATATATATATATATATATATATATATATATATATATATATATATATATATATATATATATATATATATATATATATATATATATATATATATATATATATATATATATATATATATATATATATATATATATATATATATATATATATATATATATATATATATATATATATATATATATATATATATATATATATATATATATATATATATATATATATATATATATATATATATATATATATATATATATATATATATATATATATATATATATATATATATATATATATATATATATATATATATATATATATATATATATATATATATATAAATACTAGCTAATAGCATTTAAGGAAACCTATTTAATAAAACTTCTAAAGTTTTTCCTCCATTTTCGGTTACCAAATTTATCATTAATGTTTTTTAATTCTCACATTAATACATCCTATTGAGTGTAATCATGTATTTTTCTATTATATTATAATAATTAATGCTAATACCAACTAATAATATCCCGAACCGGCGATAAAACAATGACCCGTCAAACCAATTATTATTATTTTTATAATTTTATTATAAAATTAGTTTTATTATTTTATAGTATATTATGAATATAAATATACATATACAAATATTTATATATGTTTACAATTGTTTTATCAATTAGTTTCGACATTTAAATATTCTAAATTAACAAAATATTTAACGAAATTTATTTTTACATATAAAATTTGTTACTTATTATACATCAAACAGCAATCCAACCGAGTTGAACCAGTATCCAATCAATAAACCAATAGCTTAACTGATGATTCTCGAAATTTTGCCAAAAAATATATCAGGTTGACCTAACTAACAGTTAGACTGATTTACAACAAATTTTGAGTAAAAACTAATGACACACGAATGTCAGTCTATGTATGTGAAATTGTGATATATAAACCGTTCAATTTCCCTTGGAATAGAAAAAAAAATATTTAAATTTTTCGCCCATGAGTATAGAATTTGTTTTGGTAAATGATTGGAAAATAACGATGTCAAACTTTGAACATTGATGTCTTTAATTATTTTTCAGTCAAATTGCATTTAAAAGAAAATGAAGAACAAATAATTCAGCTGCATTTTCTTAGAATTTTTTTTTCTCTTGGTATTTATGAACTTAATTTACGCGGGAGTCACAAAATGGACTCTTCATTCAACAGTCAACATTTTCAAGTCTTTCCAAATCAGAAAAAGGGAAGACTGACCTTCTGAACCTAAAAAAATATTGCAATTTTTATGAAGGAACCCACAAACAAAAAAAAAAAACTTTTCTTAATACTACTGATCGAGTTTTACCGTATCTTAAATAGTCCAGGTTAAAAAAGGTAAAAAGTCAAGGTTCAAAAAGATCCATTTGGAAACTTGGGACTAGAGCTGCAAACGAGTCGAGCGACTCGCGAGCACTCGAGTCAAAGCTCGACTCGAGCTCGAATTTGACCGAACTCGAGTCGAGCTCGAGCCCATATTTGGTATTGTCGAGCGGCTCGTCGAGCGACTCGATATATATATATATATATATATATATATTAAATTACATATATTTAAATAGTACTCCCTCCATTTTGAAATATAAGGCATTTAAGGTTATTGCACAAATATTAAGGAGACATTAATTAATGAATAAATTGACTAAATTAACCTTATTTACTCTAATCACAACCACTCCACACTTCCTTAATTTCAACACAATGAGGGTATATTTGGAAAAAAATGCAAAAATTTGTCTTGATTTTTGAGCGCGCCTTATATTTCAAAAAAAATGAGAAATCTTTATACGCCTTATATTTCAAAATGGAGGGAGTATAACACAAGTGATTAATAGTAATTTCACTTAAAATTTTGGAGCGGAGCTCTAGCATTTGATTTCGAGTCGAGCTCGAGCCGAGCTCGTGTTATTGTATTTTCTTATCGAGTCGAGCTCGAGCCTCATAAATCGAGCTCGACGAGCTCGAGCTCGAACAACTAAAAAAATAAAAATCAATCCTGCTTGATAAGGTCAATGCTCGACTCGGCTCGGCTCGGCTCATTTGCAGCCCTACTTGGGACGATTAGTTTTAAATTAATTACATTCTATGTCGTTTTAGGTTAACTTTTTTAACACAATTATATATGACTGAATCTAATTTATTTTTCAAAAATTATTATCATCTATTTCTACATTTTTATCAATTGTATTATATCAATCTATTTCTACGTAAATTAAATAATATCAATCAATTGCATAGTTTTTAAACTCGGCCCGGTGATCGACCCGGGCAGGTCCTCAGGTCACCGGGTCATCGGTTCAACCGTCGGGTCACCGGGTCAATTGTTGAACCGGATAATTAATTTTAAAATTTTTAAAATTATATATATAATATTTTTGTTATATAAATATACATAAAAGTAACAAAATTAAATATTTTGTGTATAAAATTTGTATATTAAAGTGTTAATAATATGTATCTCATGATAAATATTTACCATAAAAACATATATACATAGTTTTATTTTTAAAAAATAAAAAAATAATAAAAAAATATAAAAAATATATATGGACCGGGTCAATGCCCCGGGTCAACCGGGTCTCGGCCGGGTCGGCCGAGTTTTGACCGGGTTTGACCGGGTTTGACCGGGTTCTTGGTTGCCCGGTCCAAATACTCCACCCGGACCGGTTCCAGCTCCGGGTCGACCCGCCGGGCCGGTCCGAGTCACAAAACAGTGATCAATTGTTATTATATATTTTCACTAAAATAATTATTTATTTACTCATATATTTTGAGATACCAATTGTATTTTACATTATTAAGATATTCTATTTATCACATCAATTTTAATTATTTTATTTTTTCTATATATCAACCCACTTGTTCGGCATGTCTATTTCCCTCAAGAGAAAAATCTACCTTTCTCATTTTTCCAATTAAATTGTTTTTTTTATAAAATAATCTCTATTTAATCCCCCATGACTATAAACTTTTTTATTTCCCATTTCGAACCTATCTTTCTAGTTAATAGGCTTTCTTAACTAGAGCTGTTAAATAAAACGAGCTGCTCGTGACCTCAGCTCGTTAAGACTCGAAATTGGTTCGACTCATTTGATAAACGAGCCGAGCTCACTTAAAGCTCATTTCGTTTACTAGTCGGGCTCGGTTCGGCTTGACTCGATAAATTTCAAAAAGCAAGTTTGTATATAACTTTCTATAGTTTGACCCATTAAAACTCAAATTTGGCTCGACTCGTTGATAAACAAGCCGAGCTCGAGTTCGCTTTTAGCTCATTTCGTTAACGAGTCAGGCTCGGCTCGACTTGGCTCGATAAGTCTTTTTTTTCAAAAAGAAAATTTCTATATAATTTTCTATAGTTCGACCCGTTAAAGCTCGAATTCGATTAGTTAAAACTCGAACTCGGCTCATTAATTTTGATAATGAGCCGAACTGGAAATCGATTTCTACCTCATTTAATGAGCCGAGAGCTCAAGCTCAAGCACATACTCAGTCCGGCTCGTTTACAACCCTACTTTTTACCACACAGATACATTAATGGGCTGACAGGCTTAGGCCCATTAAATTTATTGACACAAATACATTGATGAGCCGACAGGCTTCGGTCCATTAACTCTACTGGGAAGTTTCGGTTAGCATACACACTTCCCTATGCAATAAACAAAAGTGACTTATATTATCTGCAATTCTCAAAAGTCGTGTTGCTTAAAGCACTGAACAGTAGAATTTGGAGCTCGTCGGCTATGGAGTTTGAGGTGAGAGTCGTCGGCGGGATCGAGAGCTGCTTCGTCTCTCTTCCTCTCCCACTTATCCAGACGCTCCAGTCCAGTTACCTTCCTCCAATTCTCGCAGTCGAGCTCAGGTGCGACGCGCGCCTCTGGCAGGTGGCTTGGTGCGGCGCAGCCTCCTCCTCCTCCCCTTATTCAATTGAGGTATTGTAAATAAAGTTAAAAGGTAAAGTCAGAAGGCTTTCGGTTTTTTCTTTTTTTTCTTTTTTTTTGTTGTTGGAGTTGCTCTGGTTAGTTGTGTAGATGATATGCGTGTTACCTGGAATTTTGCGGGGTGAATTCTGTAGATTGCTCGTCAGTATGCCGATTGCATTGGATTGGGTGACCGGACTGTGGTTAAAGTGAGGGTGGTTAGTAATTTGCCCAAGGCAACACTGGTGACGATCGAGCCGCTAACTGAGGATGATTGGGAGATTTTGGAGCTCAATTCTGAGCTTGCTGAGAACGCTATTTTGAAGCAGGTGATATGCTTCGGCCTATGCTGGCATTTGTTTTTGTGTGTGTGTGTGTGTGTGTAAGCGCGCGCGTGTGTGGAGATTTAGTGTACTGGAATTGCTGTGAATGCAGCACTTGTGAATGTTTTGGCATTGTGGTTGGAGAGATGGAAAATATTTACTTGCGCATACTTGGGTTTTCAAAGGCTTGTGTGAACTTCGATTTACATTAATGCATTGTTGCTTGAGAATTTTTTAGATGGGTATTGTTGTGGTTGGGCACTTACAACCCACATTGTACTGCTTGCAGGTGGGAATTGTCCATGAAGAAATGAGATTCCCATTGTGGTTGCATGGACAAACAGTTGTCATGTTTCATGTCATGTCAACCTTTCCCCCGAAAACAGTAGGTAACTGCAAATTTTATTTTTTATACCACTGATTTGGCGAATGTTTCCTTGGAAGTTTGAGCAAATATTTGATTTTTTCAGGCATCACAACTAAGCTGCGATGTTATTTTCTTGCTTCCAGAAAGATTTTCTTAATGGAACTTGTGCTTAACAGAATGTTACTTTCTTGTATCCTTCACCTGACTTGTAAAAAAATTTCAGTCCAACTTGTGCCCGGAACAGAGGTTGCAGTAGCTCCAAAAAGACGCAGAAGTCCATCTGTACAATGTTCAGAGGAGGATTGTCAAATTTCAAAAGCACAGTTGCGAGTTCAAGATGCAGACAGTATATTCAGTTACAGATGTGAGGAGAATGGTGTTACAACGAATGTAATGTTCACTTCTGGTGCATTCGTCCATCCAGAAACAGCCAACAAATATTCACTCAGTTCACTTCAGTTTGTAGTGATATCTCCTCGATTAGTATTAGAAAGGATCAAGAAAAAGCACCAATCTAAAAACAATGGAACTGAAAAGGAAGCTAGTAATGGTGACCTCACTGATAATCAGGGTAGTCATCAAGTGGTGGTTCGTATTTTGTTGTCCGAGGGGGTGGCAAAAGGACACATTATGCTATCTGAATCTCTTCGTCTCTATTTGGGAGCAGAACTACACACTTGTAAGTTCTTCGAATATTTGAATGATATTGCTGTTCTGGATCATTTGATTTAGTAATACTCTCAATCATTATATCATCATTGTTTTTGCTATGTTGGCCCTACAAATTCCAATTGGTCTTCCTCTTCTTCTACTTATTGCCTATTCATTTTTCTTTGAGGAATTTATTTGGGTGATCGTCTTCCAGGGGTACATGTTAAAAGGAGCACCGTTAGCATAAAGAAAGAAATTCCTCAAGTTTCAGTTTCACCTTACCATTTTAAGTTCTTCCAAAAGAGCGAGGTCTCTGAGGATAGTGGTGCAGAAGTTTCTAACAACCTTGAAAACTATAAATCAAAAGACGTGCTTCAAAGATTTGGCCCGCTTACTGAAATGGGTATTGGTGATTGGTCTGTGCATGATAAGATTGTCAGATCTCTTTCTTCTGTATCGTTCACTGATGGGGGTAAGGAAACAACTACTAAGACTGGAAATGCAAATGCGAAGGTTGTCTCCGGAACTGGTTTATCACCTCTTCTACGTCTGTGGTGTCTAGCTCAGATTGAGATTGTTGTTTCAAATTCATCAGAGGCTGTAAATTCATTGGTTATAGGAAGCAAAACTTTACTACATTTCAAAATCAGAGATCAGAGATTGGATAGACATGGCAAGGCAAAAACATCTATTAAAAAATTGTCCAGAAACCGAAACCAAGCTGAAGAACCATCAGTCGACATCCTCTATATTTTGTCACTGTCTGAGGAATCTCAACGGGATAAAGATATGAATGTGTATGAACTTGCTTTTGAGAATAGCAGCAGGAAAGATTATTCTTCAAGAAGTTTGGATGTTATGCTAAGAAAGATGCAGCTTGGTGATATCTTATTCTCTCATGCAAAACATGAGGCACCCTCTGACCATGTCCTAAGTGCTGCAATTTCTTCATTGGATTGGATGGGTACAGTCCCGGCTGATGTAAGCTACAGTAGGTATTTCCTCGCCTGGTTTCTTTTTGTGTCTGATGAGTAGTCACATGATCCTTACTTTATGTTAGGAAGTTAGCATTTATGGGTGGAGTAACTAACTGGATTTGTGACTAGCCTGTATGTTTTTGAGCTTACGAAACGCAAAGCATGCTGTGGGAATAATTTGCAGTTTTGTAGCCCGGAATTAGCAAGATAGTGAAAGTAGGTAAATGCATAATAATCCTATGAGGATATCACTTTAAACTACTAAAGAATATTCAAGAAAGATACTGTGTGCCTGAGCACCACCACAAAATGATACTAGCATATATTAACAGAAGGGAAAAGGAAGCCTTGGGTCCAATTTCAGTTTCAGAGGACCTACAATGTAGTTTATTGTTGTTGTTGTTGTTATTATTATTCCTTCCTCCCCCACCCCCAAAATAAAAACAACATGATTATTATCAGTTATTCTATACACATTATTGTGGTTTCAACGGTTGGTATTGTGTTCATGGTGCGAGCTTTTTTTCTTAGTTGTTGTTTAATCTGCAGGGTTGACAGCTTTGCTATCTCCTTATGGAATGTTGTTCAGTAGCTATGATATTCCTTTGCCTGGGCATATTCTAATTTGTGGACCTTCAGTAAGTTTAATAAAAAGTAGCTTTATATTTTAGTTTAGGTGGGCCGAGATTTATACTTAAAATCCATGTAAGATTCTGCCTATTAGACAATACAATCGAGGTAAAATAAAGCAAAAAGATGTTAGTTTCATTACACCCTGCTCTATAGTGCAGTTTCTGAACCTTCTGAACATAATTCTGGTGATGTAAACACACTTCGGAAGGAATATGTAAAACATCATCCATATGTTTTGTTCTAATAGTGAAGACGACAACATTTCAAGGATTCAAGCTATATCTCTGGTTTGACTTTTATAATCGTCTTTTGATTGATTATAAAAGTTTGAGTGAATTGTATCTTAAGGGAAGATATGAAATAAATTTTATATTTGGTTCAATTATACATTTTTTTTTTAATTTAAGCTAGTGTATTCCTCGGTTAAGATGTTCAAGCAATTAGGATAAATTTGAAGGGCACCGATAAAGTATTGCCATACTTAACATGACCAAGTCTGCTGTTTGTCACCATGATCAACTGATCTACTAGGAAATTGCAAATTCTGGTTCTATGAAGCTGTATATTTTGGTTCTATGAAGCTGTATATTTATTATCTGTTACATCGGTATTGTTTAGGGTTCTGGGAAAACTCTGTTGGCTAAAGTCTCCGCAAAATCTGTTGAAGCATGTGAACAAATTTTGGCACACATGTAAGATCGCTTTTGAGCTCTTATTTGGTTGCTGTTCTATAACATGGTGCTATGGTTAAATTTTTTCAATTATGCTAGTGCTATTGAAATTCTTGGTATTTCAGTTGAATTGTCGTGTAATTTGAGAGAATGGCTAACCTGAGAATTTGCGGAATTGCTTATTTCTTTGTACAGAGTTTTTGTATCTTGTTCGAAACTCACTTTGGAGAAGCCTTCAACTATCCATCAAGCACTCTCTAGGTATATCTCAGAAGCTCTTGATCATGCTCCCTCTCTCGTTATCTTGGATGATCTTGATAGCCTCTTTGCACCTTCCTCGGATTTAGAGGGATCTCAACCTTCACCGTCCTCTGCAGCACTGGTTGAGTTTCTTGCTGATATATTGGATGAATATGAGGCAAGACTTCATGTTGTCATATTTTCATTTTCTGCTGATACACACGGTACTTGATGATACCTTGGAATCCAGTGTGCAATATTTTATTTGACATGGGCTCTAGTGTTTATAAGTTTATTTCTTTGTATGAATGGTCAATTGTTCTGTCTCTTCCCTGCATTTCTTTCGATGACTTGATATTGGCTCAGCATGTTCTTTGACTCTTGGTTGTTTTCCCCCATCTATGCATCTTGTTCTAATGTTATCCATCAGAAATTCATCTACGTGAACATGAAATGTCAAGTAGCTAAATGATTTTGTCTGTCGGTCCTATCTCAAATAGTTAGAGATTCCTACTGATAGAAGGACATAGAAGAGATATAGTGCAACTAAAGTATGTTACACAGACTTAGTTATTTTTTTTTTCCTTTTTTTATGTTTATTTTTACTATTGTTACAGGAAAAGCGTAGGAGCTTCTGTGGAATTGGCCCCATAGCATTCATTGCTACAGTGCAACAACTGACTAGTTTTCCACAGAGCTTGAGCTCTTCTGGTTAATCACTCTTCATCTCTGATAAATATTATTAGGTTTCTTCATGTGGATGACCCGATCTTACTCCTATAATTGATTAAATCCAGGAAGATTTGACTTTCATGTCAATCTGCCTGCACCTGCTGCTGCTGAACGTTCTGGTATGTTAAGAAATGAGATCCAAAAACGGTCCTTGCGATGTCCTGATGATCTTTTGTTAGATATAGCATCAAAGTGTGATGGATATGATGCTTACGATCTGGTACTTCATTAATCCCAAACTGAACTTTTGATTATCTACGTAAATCAAATTCTCTTATTTTGGGACAAATAATTGCCTATGATGTGCAATCTGTCTGCTACAGGAAATACTGGTCGACAGAACTGTTCATTCCGCAATCAGTCGCTCATTATCTTCTGATTTGGGCTCTGGAAGAGATGAGAAACCTACTCTGGTCAAGGATGACTTTCTGCAAGCAATGCAAGATTTTCTTCCTGTTGCCATGCGTGACATCACTAAACCGGCTAACGAAGGTGGCCGCTCTGGTTGGGAGGATGTTGGAGGTCTTGATGATATTCGGAATTCTATTAAGGAGGTAAATGCAGCGGCATTGTATAATTCAGTGATTCAAATTCAAATTCACCTGAACATGTATAATGCTGAAGAATGTCTTTGCTGTCAATAATGGCTGCTACTCGTAAAGTGATATTGATGGCTGTTATCTGTTACCTGTTTCAACGATTATTTTACGGCATTTGCGAATGCATCACTGATGTTGAATATGCGTTATTTGGCACGAAACAGACTAGACCGATAAATGAGAAATTTTTATATATCTATTTTCATGTGATATCATATTTCATTTATAACGTTAATCTGAACTTTTGTACGCAGGTTCACAGTTAAATGTTTTTTTTTTTTTTTTT